TAGTCAGAGAATAACAAAACATGAAGAAATATTTAAAAAAATAATTGGCTTAGGCAATAAAAAACACCAGTAAAGTCAAACATTTTTACAAAAAAGTTTTGAAGTTGAAAAAAAAGCATCGTTTGTAGCTAAACGGGCAACAACGACGCAAAATGCCCTTGAATAAATCATCTGGAAAACATATTTTTCTTTCTAAAGCACTGATTACTTTCTGAAATATTTGAGGAAGTTCCGCAGAAAATGCACTTATGCGGGAGAAAAGCGGTGCCGGCATAAGTGCATACAAGCCTCTACCACACCATTCTGTACTTATAAATGGCTTAGTTATAGTGATATAATATCAATGCCAAAGAGCACCCGACGATGATCCTCCGAATCTGTCATTACCATGTGTCCTTTCTTTCAAGATGACGGCCGAAAAAGCTGTGTCGTTATAAACTGCAATGCAAAAACTAATGTACCGATTTTAATGAAACTTGGCCAAAGTCTTCTCCTATAAGCCCTATAAATTTATGTTTATAATATACTTCACTGAAAAGTAGTTTCCTATCAAGATGGCCGCAGATAAACCTGTACCGTATAGACTATAGAGCATAGACGAATGTACCGCTTTCGATGAAACTCGGCTGAAGTCTCCTTATTCGAAGGCCTTTAAATGTATTTATATTTCATATGTTATTTATCATAGCATAGCATATATTATTCATGCTATAGAATCTGTTGTTATAGGATACTCAAACAACTGCCGTCTATTAGGTGAAATTACGAAATCAAACCGATCGACTGTTTTCATTTATCGAATAGAAATGAAATAGGGCCCGAGATCTGGGTAGAATTAAAGGAATCCTGCTTGGGGGAGTCGGGGAAGTTGGATGGTGAAGGCAGCCAAACGTGATGTGAAGTAATGAGTTGGCCGAATTAGGCAAGGGCCTTCTGTTGCTCAGATTTAGCAACAGCCACAATATTTACCAGCTTTAGCATCAACTGTCCACAACAAAAGGGGTTACAGTTATTGCGGACAAAGTCCTTCGACAGCGTTAAATTTTAATTTGATCCAACTTTTATTATATAACATAAATTCCTAGTAAATATTTGTATTCACGCTTGTAGGTTAGGACTTCACCTTAATAGTAATAACAAAACCACGTATTTGATTACAATAGTCCTACTTTATTTAATTTTATTTATTTATCATCAATTTTGGTTTATTATTTTCAATAATAAACTTCAAAAACTTAACCACCTCTCAAGATTTGAGCTTTCACGTTTATGGATACGTAGAATTCGAAAAAAAACAATAAAACTATTTTTGTCAGTCCGCCGTAGGCGCTACTTCTCCGAAACTACTAGACCGATTTTTTTCATATTTAGATATAAAATCAGAGCTCATCCGAGGATGATCATCCTTCATCGAGCTTAATATCCGCCTTTTACTTTCAAAATGGCGGCCGAAAAACCTGCGTTGCTATAGACTGTACCGTCTAAACGAATGTACCGATTTCAATGAAACTTCGCTTAAGTCATTTTCTCGACTCCTTTTAAATTTATCTATATAACATACTTCAAAGAAAAGAAGCTGAAAAAAAGTTACGAGAGATGGTAAAATTAAATTCCGAATTACTCAAAAAGTTTACACTTTTTTTCCATATTTTATATGGTTTTCTAAAAGTTGACGGAATTTTCTAAAAAGAAAAATCGTTAAAATCCGACAATTAGGAGCAAAGATATGGTCTCTAGTTTTTTTTACTTTCACTTACGTATATATGTAATATATAGTAAGTGTAAGTATTGCGATCGAGAAAATTTTTTTAAATATGTTCTACTGCAAATGTTATATCCTTTGTTTTTTTTAGTTTTTAAATTTTGAATGTGTTACTGAAGTAATGTTATTTTTTTTTGGCACATTACTAATAATTAAAAAAAAAGTTTAGTCCAATAATTGGAATTACATTTTATTTATTTTTCTTTGTAACTAGGAAGGTTATTAGGATATTACTTTAGATGTATAATTGTTTGGAAATAATAAACCATTGTGAAATAATTTGCGGTGTTTTTTTTTTTACTTTAACATGTCAGCCCTAAGGCCATTTCCAAGTGAAGAAAAATTTGTTTCATTTAATCTTCAAAATTATCTAAGGGTATATAATAATAATAAAATTTATAATATCGAGGAAAACAATTTATTTTACTCTTATACATTTACTCCAATGCTTTTATTAATTCAAATTTCTTTGACAACGTTTCGGGCAATTTTGCCCATTTTCAAGTCGATTAATTATGTAGCATTATTATATAAACATAATTTTATATAATTATTGCGAAATCTGTCTCCTCGAAAATTATTCCTCAAATTATAAAATTCATAAACTATTCATGAATAGTCAAATTCAAAAATAACTGCGTAATAATAATAGGTAACTCATAGCTCACGGTGGACATTAGGCTGTTGTTTTTAAATGTGACGAAAATGTGTGGCATTCGAGTAATTTTAAAATAATTTTTAATTTTTGACTATCCACATTTGTTTTTAAATTTGACTATTCATGAATGATTTTTGAATTTTAAGGATTTATTTTTAAAGGGAAAAAATTTGAAAAAATTATATAAAAATTTTGATTATATAGATTATATGATTATTCGACTTCAAAATGGGTAAAATTGTCGCAAACGTTGATTTGAATGAATTAAAGCGGTGTAGCAAATGTATAAGAGTAAAATCAATTGTTTTACTCGATATTATAAGTTTTATTTTAATAATTAAAAATCATTATGGACTGAATTTCTCTTTTCAACTTCATTTAATTAGTCATACACTAAGATAAATACATTTTTTTTATTTGGTTTACTTACATAAAATTTTTTTAGTAATACTCTTTTTTTATGACTAATTTAATGAAGTTAACAAGGGCAATTCAGTCCATAATGATTTTTAATTATTATCATAAGTTTGTTATAAATTATGAAAAAGATTTTTACGAATAGCTTACGAATCGCAGACCAGGTCGTACCAGTAGCTCTATCCAGTGTTCATTTAATAGAGAAAGCAAAATATTATTTTCATTAGTTAAATTAATGTAATTAATCTAGAAGAAACAGAAAAAAAACTTTATGATTTTAGGTGTTTTTTTATTAAAAAAAAAACCGTAATTACAAACAAATAATGCTTTTAGAGATCTTTTAATTTTTTTCTTGACACATGCTTATATTTAGTAGATCTGTATGCAATATAATTTAAAAAGGTAATATATTGTGAGTTTTTAAGTGTTTATCTTTATCACTCAAATAAAAAGAATTGAACGAAATATAAATATACTTTTCCATTCGGGAGGAGAAGTGGCTTCAGCCCGAAAGACCCTACCAAACACAGAAGATTCGCCAGTGGATATTACAAAAACGATTTTTGTTTATTCCAACTCGGACTTGAATGTATTTGAATATTTTCTTCTTTAAGGACCCCTACACATATCGGGAGACTTTGATAGAAATTATTAAAAATGTAGATCCTCTGTTAAGAACTTGATACATAATATTCTGTTCAGGGTTGACATCGATAATTAAAAAAATAAAAATATAAATCAAATCTGAACAAAATTTTTATCTGGTATTTTAAAAGATAATTTGATTACTTGATCATAAGAGATAAAAAACATATCTTTTTGAACATTTTTTTTTTTTACAATTAACAATAATTATAATTTCTGAGTAATACTTTTTTCAAAATCAGAAACGTAAATTTTTTGTAATCTCTGTTATATATTTTGAGTCTGGAGTAATCGGTAGATAATAGATAGATATTGTTGTCAACTATTAGGGGCAGAACTTCTTTATTTCCGAAATTCATTGGAAATTTTGGCTTCCAAATAATAAAAAATATATCTACATATATATTGTTCAGGAACCGAGGGAAAAATTAAAGCGATTTCAGAAATATAATATTAAGATATGTGCACATTAATAACCTATATATACATATACATATAATTTTTATGCAAAATGTGATTTTTATTTGTTGACCAAAAAAATGTTTATTACAATTTAAGAAAAAAAAATTAATATTGTTTATCACAGAGACAAATTTAAATTTTTATGTATAAATGAATCATGATTTTTAAATTTAAAATATTTTTTATTTATTTATTAATTGAAATTTACAGCTGTATAAAAATACAACCAGTAAATAGGCACACATTAGAAATAAGGTCATGAAGAGACTTGAAGAAATACTACCCAGTGGTAGCACTCCCTATTTAATTCTAGGTGAGAAGATCACGAGGCCATCTTCTTTTCAGACGCCTAGGGAGATTATCAGGAATCGTGGAAGAAGCAAGGCTGGAAACAAGTGGATTCGGATTGAACTGGTGATTATCATGAAATAATATATATCTGGATGGGCTAAATCAGCGACATTGAAATAAAATATAATAATTCTTACCTACTCAAACCCTTATGGACTTGCGGCTCAGAAATTTACGGTTCTGCAAAAAAGACTTACAAAAACTACATACATTTCCAATCCAAAATTTTACGGCTTATAACAGGAACTCCTTGATACGTAAACAACAAAACTTTACATGACTTACGACAACTAACTATCGACCAAAACGTACCTGATCTCTACTACCGATTTCATCTTAAACTACACGGACATCACAACGGACGTATCAACGACATGGCCACAGCTGACAAGCCCATCAGGATACAACTAAGAAGGAGATGAATGAGAGATCTGCTTTTCTGAATTAAGGAAATGAGAAAATACCAGGAAGAGATGCTGCTGGGTACTATTTTTTCCTCATGCCTGAAATGCCAATTTTCATATTCGTTGCAGCACATCTGCTTATTGTCAAGCTTATGACAGGTGTGAATGGAAATATGAAGAAAAAAATATATATTATTACATGATTTTGTGGAAAAAATAATATCGATTCAAACCCCGATTCTGTTATTTAATAATCATTCCTCTAATGTTTATATTAATCTTTTTTTTTTTTTGTTGGCAGCCCTACCGGAAGAAGGACCTCGCATCTCTGGAGGGAAGCCCCGCTACCAGATCGGGGACAAAGTGAAGGTGAACTGTACTTCCGGTCTCTCGAAGCCAGCGGCGCAGCTGTCCTGGTACATCAACGGCGAGCCGGTAAGTGTCATTTATAATTAATAATTTAATAAAAATTATTAAAATGCAGCGACAGTATTTCGGAAGAGCCCGGATATATCCGCTATAAAATATTCGTTATTTGTTCCTGAACGTGAACTTTAGCCCCAATTTACTCTTCATAGAGGTCACGTTTAGAATATTGTCGAATAATAATTACCTTGTATGGTCATACTATGTTTTTAATTAATATATCAATACAGTTTGAAATTGAATCTGTTTGATATTCAACGAGTTATATTTTCCTCATACGCAGGGTGCCCTGTCGTATATTATTAGTTCTGCGAAATATATCCAAATTCAAAATGAGAACAGAACTATTAAGCTTGTCTGATCCCTTTATGCTGTTTTATTAGCTGTGATGTATATTGACCTAAAATATTACATATAATTATTCAATACGCAAATGAATTCAGTTATAATATCCTGAACGCACGGACGAAAGCATCTTCTACCTTTAATTTTTACAGTTCAAAATTTTATTATTAACAGACAACATTTTATACATAAATAATATAGACAAACACTTGACATACGCATGGGTATTATACTCCCGTATTCAGAACAGACTTAGTGGACATTACTTAAGACTGTTAAACGATATGACTGCGGATGACATGTCTATTTGAAGATCACTAAAGAGGAGCTGGATGAGAGGTCTTCTATTTTAAACTAAGGGAATGAATTAAGAGCGAAAGGAAGTGAGGTTGGGGTACTATCCTTCTTCATAAAAATTATCATAGCTATCATTTGTTTCCATTACATTTGCATATGTATTCTAATATTGAAATTCCATAAATATCTGATCTACAGATAGTTTTTACGATTTTGATGGTTAGAGAGTTAAACGTGTATATGTAAACATAAAATCCACTTAAATAACAAGTTTTACAATAATTGCTCTCTGTTCCTTTTTTCCTCATCTCCTTCCACTATTCATATAATTATAACGTTTTCTTCGTAATCTCAAACATTTTTTTTTTTTTGCGAAATCTCTTTTATTATTTTTTTTTTGGGGGGGGGGGACCCAATCTGTTAAATAACGTGTCAAAAAACGAGGTTATATAGGCCAAAGGGCCCAATATTTTTGTTAACCAACTTTTTTTCTATGCTGTCAGTTTTTCGTACCTCATTAAAAGGTCTGTACCTCTATATCCCATGGAGGGTTCAGTAATTTGTAATGTAAAGTACCTTCTCTTGATCAAAGGTTGTGTAAGGAGGATTTTTTATTTATTTTTCCTCCCTACCTCGCATTTTAGAGTGTACGGGAGTTTTTCCAGGCCAGGGGGTGAGGGCCGGAAGTTAATGCCAGATTTAAAATACCCTCTGGGCACTGGGAAGCGAACACGTAATTTTATTGTTTCCAATTTCGGTTATCAGGTTTCCGGGCCACGCGCGCTGCTGTGCAAACACGTTTGACCGCTCGGCCGCCCCACCCCTTGCAAGTAGATGATTTATGATTAAATCACATCAGACTGAACAGCCAGGAAGAAAACTTTATTGTTTATTTAATTAAGGGTATCCACTTTATAGAGGCTGGCTATGCCCCAGGAGGGTCTCTCGGCCCTAGGGCCAACCACGGCCGACCAAACAGAATAAATAATTTATCTCCAACAGAGACCTTGATCATTGATAGTCAGCACCCTGCCAATGAGCTGCCACATTCCCAGTACCTTATAGAATTAATTAAATTCATCTGAAAAAGCCTTATTTTTGAGAATTTGCTTAGATAAAGATTGTAGATTAGTCTTAAATTAAGATTTTCACGTTGTTATGAATATGTTGATATGCAGAAAGTTGAAATAGTAATAACGTTTTCATAAATAGTATATGACTTGTGATACCAAATGCTTCAACAGTCTCTAGCAACCCAAAATAAGTAGTAATGGAATATAATAGGACACTAAATGCACCATTACTAAAGAAATTCCTTTGAAGTTATTTCTAAGAAGTGTATAACAAATCATAAAAGCAATCTTTCACCTTTCGTTTTATCATGTTCATATTAAATTGGCAAATATGGCGCCCAAACATTCCCTGGAGATTGTAGGCCTCGATGATTACTACCGTGCCGTAGCATTTAATAAATAAATACAAATGGCTAGGAAATGAAGCCTGTGCCGCTACAAACCCTTAATCCCCGCTTGTAATATTTAACAGCAATTCCGTCGAGTGGGAGAATCTAAAACTGATTTAATAAAAAGGCGGCTGTTGAAAAGACCCAGGTAAGAGAGAATAAAATCAGAAGTTAACTTAATGAGTTCGAAACAAGTCGGCTGACTTTAATTCAACACAGTCGGTAAGCCTCGGAGCTAACCTCTAGGCAATTCTTTTCCTCTGATTCTATTGTTCCACACTTTCCTAATTATTCGCTCTATTATTCACGAAATCAGGTTTTCTATCTACTCCTCGTCCTGCGATAAATTAGATTTTGTTGATTAATGAACTTTTTATTCGAAGATCCTTACATCCCCAGTCCTTATAAAATAAATAATATTGTAACCATTTATGAGAAACCTATGGCATCTAGGCAGCAAGTGGCCTCCGTGAGTTCGTAGACCACACAGCTAGAAACGTTTTTGCTCGATTACTATTAATATAGTCCTAGAGTTATTTCATATTTAATTATTTAAGTGACGAAAATGTTAAAATTAGTAGAATAAGTTGAATATCTGTACATGGATGTGTTTAGTGATAAATAATAATAGTGATAGTAAAATATAGAAAATTGTTGGGCCTCCATTAGCACTGCCTACAGCCTCTAATAATAATTTTTTTATTATTTTTATGTTGTATTCCTTTTAAAAGAAAGAGCTGACAAATTTAAATAGTCTCATAAGGAAAATGATAAAAGAAGACATTGAAAAATTTAATAAAAATACTGTAACCAAAATCCTTTTAAACAATAGGTCTACAAGAAAAATTCAAAAAGAGTTTGGAGAAGGAAAACCTTGGATGGTTGCAATAGAAAATTAGAGAAAGGAATAGTAATAGTAAGGAAAGTAGTAGTAAAGAAATAGAAAATCACAACCAACCGAGAACATATTAATAAAGTGGCTACAGAATACTTCAGGAAACTGTACGATTGTAATGAAACATCCTTTGAATCATGCGAGGAAGGAAAGAAGACTAAAAATTTGGAGGAAGTTACACCGATAATGGTAGATGAAGTTACTGTTGCCATTAAAAGGCTTAAATCTGAAAAAAGTCTGGGACCGGATAACATAACAAATGAAATTTTAAAAGTAGGAGGAAAAGCTCTAATTAAAGAACTGTCAGAATTATTTAACTTAATTCTCCAGGAGGGAAAAATTCCAAAGCAATGGAGAATCACAAAGATAATCTTACTCCATAAAAAAAAGCAATATGCATGACATAGAGAATTACAGACCCATCTCCCTTTGTTCAACCATGGCAAAACTTTTTACCACCATAATTAAACAGCGATTCACAAAAAGAATTATGGAGTGTATAGCAGATGAATAGGCAGGATTCATAAAAGGATTCTCAACACTAGATCACATCCAGACGTTAAATCAGATGATCGAGAAAGCCAAAGAATATAATTTCTCTCTCTACCTCTGTTTTCTTGATTTCAAGAAGGCTTTTGACACCATTTCACATGCAAGTATAATTAAAGCACTTAGAGCAATAGGTACAGAAGAGAGATATATAAAGATTCTAACAGAACTTTATGCAGAAATGTCAGCATACATTATGACAGAAAAGAAAGGTCAAAGCTTCAGGGTTAGGAAAGGGGTTCGTCAGGGAGACCCATTATCACCTATGTTGTTTATCTTGGTGTTGGAGCTGGTGTTTTGGAATCTTGAATGGGGGAATGTTGGTGTAAGAGTGAATGGTAAATGGTTGAGCAATTTACGTTTTGCCGATGACATCGTGCTCTTTGCCTAAAACAGTCGACAATTGAAGGAAATGATTATACAACTTTTAAGTTTGTGCGAACAAGTCGGTTTATATCCAAACTATAACAAAACCAAAATAATGTCAAATAGGGAGCCAAAAGAAATAAAAATAAATAAATACACCTTAGAATATGTAGATGAATATGTGTATCTAGGCCAGCTGGTGTCCTTCTCGGATAGAGCAACAAAAGAAGTACAGAGAAGAATCGCAATGGGATGGAACAAGTTTTGGTCACTGAGGCACATAATGAAAGGAGATTTAGATGTGGATCTTAAAAGACAGACCTTCGATAGCTGTATCCTCCCAGTAGTGACATATGGTTCTCAAACTTGGTCGTTAACTAAGGCCCACGAGAGAAAAATCCAAGTGTGGCAGAACAGTATTGAGAGGAGTATTATGAAGGTAAAGAAAAGAGACAAAATAAGATGCACTAAACTAAGGAAAGAAACAGGCCTCAAAGATACAATTTTACAGTTGAGGAAAATTAAATGGAAATGGGCTGGTCACCTCTTACGTAGCAACGATGTTAGGTGGTCGAAAATAACAACCGAGTGGACGCCATATGATCTAAAAAGGAAGAGAGGCCGACCAGTGAAGAGATGGTGCGATGTATTCAGGCTGACGATGGGACCCCTCTGGTGGAGAGACGCTAAAGACAGGGTTATATGGAAAAAGAAGTGGACAGAGCTCACGGACCCCGCTTCTCAACAGGGCTAGTCACCCAGAGAAGTGCTGACTACTACTCCCTCACGGGAAGGCCTGTGCAGGAAGAAAGACATAGAAGAAGTGTATAATAGTGTATGTGTGTGTGTGCGTATCCATGTAGATATGCATGCTATTTTATATTAGTAGTTATAAAAATAAAAACCATTTGTACATATGTAACTACTTATTTTGCATAATAAAGGCTATTTAATTTCATTCCTTTTAAAAACCATAGCACAAATACAAGATAAATTAGATAAACAAGTAGAAAAATAAATATTTTTTTTTTTACTTTGGACGGATATTTCGTGAATGGAATCATTTTATCGACCATATAAAGTTTAATTTAAGTA